GGCGGGCCGGGACTTGTGGAAGCTGCTATTTCAAGGAACTCATTTGTCAGGAATAAAAGCCCTTTTGTAGAGCAGATTAACCCTTCAGGTGTTATTCTGTGCCAAGTTTTAATGGTTTATCTGAAATGCTTGTATTTCTGTTTCACCTGCCCAGGTCTCTCCTGCCTCACATGCAGTAAGGGCCCTGCTTCTGTCCGCTGTGGGGTGTTTCCTGAAGTGTGAGCCCCATAGGTGGTGATTTGAAAGATGATTTTAGGTGGCACCTGAATATATATTTTTCACTTTAATAGTTAAGTATATATTTTAATGCATAACTAGAAAAAAAAATCACTTGTACATCTTTCCTATGATTTCAGCTATAAGTCCTACAATAAGACTCTGCTTTAAAAAAAAAAAGTCAGTCGTTGTGAAGAACAATAGTAAGTGGTATGAGAGTCTGGCAAAGCTGTAAAGTTAGGGGGCTGGGGATGTGGCTCAAGTGGTAGCGCACTTGCCTGGCATGCGTGTGGCCCGGGTTCGATCCTCAGCACCACATACAAACAAAGATGTTGTGTCCGCCGAAAACTAGAAAATAAATATTAAAAAAAAAAAAAAAAAAGCTGTAAAGTTGGGCTAGGAACAACAGAGGGACACACACTGCCTAGCCCCCATAGTTTCTGTCTAAAGCTTTAAGACACCAGAACGTGTGTCTTAAAGAGAGGGAGCAGGTGGAATTTGGTCTTTTATCTTCCATCCCCTCCCCTCTTTGCTCTGAGTTCTGCTGAGGAAGTAGTTGAAAGAGACCTCAGAGAGGCCAGCTGTCCTGAGGTTGATGCTTGGCTTGGTTGTAAGCCCCTGGGCATGTGCACAATCCCTGGCCCCAGTGGTATCAATTCTGGGCAGATCCTACTGGGGGCTCCTCGCAAAGTGATGTGGGCCCATGGGCCGAGTCCTGCTGTCTGCAGTCTCTGCTCTGGCTTTGAAACACAGCCAGAGAGCCAGCCCTGCCTGTTCAGTCCTTACTGTTGTCTTGGAGGAGATCAAGCCTCCTGGAGAGATTTTCTTGGTTTGGCCTAGAACCAAACCTTCAGAAGCTTTATTTAGCTCTGTGGAAGCCCAAGCCAGAGCTGACTAAGGTTTATCTATAGATACTGTCCCTACCATAGTGACCCGATGTCCTTGATTTGGGAGTCTCAAGCGGTCAGACTTTCATCTGAGCAGGTCGTGTAAAATGCTTAGAGATGAATGAGCCCACCAGGGCTGCGTTTTGTGAGCTCTGCTTGGAGAGGAGGAGGAGACAGTGTCACTTGGAAGGGGGGTTTTTATGCTGGGCACTGCAGCAGCATGGCAGAGCCTAGGCACTGACCTCTTCAGAGCACTTGCCCATGGGATTCTGCTGTGTGGCCCTTCTGGAGAGCTTGTTAGTGGACAGAAACTGTTTCTTTCACCTTCGTGTTCCAGTGCCTGGCATGTTATAGAGAAGGAATGAGTGAAGGTTGAGCCCTGGCGTTTATAAGACAGGAATAGCCCCCGAAGGATTGAAGAAACAATTCTAAGCCAGGAACATGTGGGGGTCTAGAGAAAGCAAAGAAAAGGTGGAAGAGGTCTCAGGTGGTAACTGAGCAATTGGCCTGGTACTAAAATTTAAGACAGAATTTAATTTCACATCCTTAAATTTCCTAATGCCTCTACCCGATCTCAGCCAAAACTTCAGAGGGAATGTAGCCCAGAGTGGGGATTCTTCCCTGAGCTGTCCCCTCAAAACCAGCATTCAGGATTGGATCCTGAGGTGGGACCCTTGAAGGGAGGCTCCGCTGACATGACAGGCACAAAGGCTAAGGGGTCTTGCTGGTGCCAGGTTGAGGGCCTCTTGGGGCCTGGGGCTGCCAATCACCTGGGGTCCTAGTCCAACCAGCTCTGCCTGTTCAGCCCAAGTGTGCCCCAGGGGATTTCCTTTAGAGGGCATTTACCAAGACTTCAGGCAAATCTTTGGTTGGCGGAGAGCAGGAAGGATGTGGTGCCTGGTGGGAATGCTCCTAGTGGAGGGGTCTATCAGGCTTAGATAGCAGAGGCCCTGCTCTAGGCGCCGATCTTGTGCCTAAGTGTGTGCTGGAGGCTGTGCTGTCCCTGAGCAGCTGGCAGTTTGCTGTGTGTGCCTCGGGAGATAATGACAATACCTTCCAGATTGTGAGATTCCAGCAAAAAGCCTTTAGCACAGTTCCTGGTGTCTCTGTAGCCATTGATAAATAACTATTGTCCTTCTCAAAAGCTGGGGGGTCCACACAAACTGCCACAAACTTAATGGCTTAAAACAGAATAGATCTGTTCTTATACAGAAGTCTTAAAAGGCTCAGCATATTTGCCTGACTTCTGGAAGTTCTAAGGAAATGAATCCACTTCTTAGCCTTTTCTAGCTTCTGAAGGCCCCCAACATTCCTTGACTCCCCATCCCATCTTCTGTCTTCAAAGGTAGCAGTTTAAGGTAGGCATGGTGATACGCTTCTAATACCAGAGACTCTGGAGGCTGAGGCAGGAGGATTGCAAGTTCAAGGGCAGCCTCGGCAACTTAGATCCAGTCTGAAAATAAAAAATGAAAAGGTCTAGGGATGTAACTCAGTCATAATATTTCCCCCAGTTCGATTCCCAGGACCACCCAAAACAAACAACAACAATAAACCTAGTGTCTTCCAACTTCCCTCCTTCTCTTGTCACATTGTATTTTCTCTGACTCTTTCCCTTCTTCCTCCTCCTTATAAAGACCCCTCTGATTACAGAGGACCTAGATAACCCAGGAATGTCCCCATCTCAAACTTAATCACACCATCATTAAAGTAAGGAGTTCACACATTTTAGGGATTAGGATGTGGACATCTCTGGGGAGTCATCGTTCTCTCTACCTGAGGCTCAGACTTTGGGGACAGTGTGTAGCTGATGGAAACAAAGTGTTAATTAAGCTCCTCACCAGTGGGGAAGGCGGGAAGAATGTGGCTTGGGAAAGCCTGTGAGGATCCATTGGGACACACTGTCCAGTTAGGAGACAGCAGCTCTTCTCAGGGCTTTATGAAATTTCTGCCGGCATCATACATTCTCTCAGCTGACGTCCGGGTATGCCCAGAAGGGATCCATTTGAGACAACACACAAACACCCAATGATTGAAAAAGGAATAGGAGACTGGGGAATTCCTCAGAGCCGTGGAAACACAGAAATGGTAGCCCTGGAGTGGAATCCCAGCTCTGCCAGTCCTGGCCATGTGACTTGGGTCCTTCCCTTCCCTCTTTTTAAATGATTTATTTCCATTTGTACAATGAGAAGATACAGAACCCATTTCAGTGGGATGTTTGAAGGTTGAGAATGTGGAAAAGATGTACAACCCCCAGTAAATGGCAGGTGTTATCACGTGGTGCTGGCCTCAGGGAAGAGGGGTGTGAGGCAGGTGTTGCAAAGCTCAGAAGTTCCTGGGCAGGTAAGAAGTATGCTGCTGCCGGTGGGGGTGGGGGTCCAGGGAGACTTGATGAAGAGATAAGATGGCAGCTCTTTCTTTAAGGAGAGGTGTCATTTAGTCAGGAGAAGAGTCCAGGTGGGAGAGGGCTTTAAGCAGCAGCAGTGGCAGGAGCCAAAGTTCAATGAATGGACGCTTCTAGTATGTTGGAAAGACAGCAATGTCTTGACCGTGGGGAACAGAGGAAGGTTAGGGAGAGGCATTGCAGGTGTTTAAATAAAGGATATTCTGGGCACACATTACAGATCGTGCTTATATATTTATTTGTTTGCTATTGTCTTTCTCTCCTACTAGAGAATAAACCACACAAGAGCAAGGACTCTCGTCTATTTATTTCCCTTTGTATCTATAGGGCCTAACAGACATTCATTAAATACTTATTGCATGAATAATGGGTAAATGAACAAATAATAATCAAATTTTGCAGTGTTCATATTAGGTCCTCGACAGGCATCAGGTGGCATTCTCGGAAGACTGGTCTACTGCTGCAGGCGGGAAGTGGGGAGGGAGGGTGGGGTGGAGGTTGGTTAGAATTCAGGTGGCTGAGTGGGCCTCAGGGTTTCAACCACTGCAGAGGGGAGGAGAGGATGGGATTGAGGGGAAGAATTGATGAAGGATGTTGTCAAACACTTTAGAAATGTGGTGGAGGAAAGGGAGAGAGGGGCCAGGAATGCCTCGTATGGATCTCGGATGATGAGAAGAATTACACATTTTTTTACCGAAGAAAAATTGGGGGGTACCTTCTCAGTACCAGGCACTGTGCGAGTTGATGGGCATTCAAGGCTAGACAGGGCACGATCTCCACCATAGAGCAGGAATTTAGGAAGCAGGAAGAGCTAGCTTGGGTCTGTGGCTTATACAATGAGGAAATACTGGGGGGCTACCACAGGTAAGCGGGAAGGGTCCTCTGTTGTGGAATTGATCCCCCCGGAGGGATAGGAAGATCTCATCAGAAATGGTCACAAGGCTGGGGCTCCCGTGCCCACTCCCATTCTCTCTGCCTGTTTCCCCCAGTTTGTATGTCACTTCCTCTGTGAGCCCCTGTCTGTTCCCCAAACTTAGATTGTGACCTTTGCTGTGCCCTCCCATGTGACCATGCCCTGCCTCAGTCATGACTAATTTTCCATTATATGTGTCTTCATCTCTCTCCCCAATTACACTGCTCACTAGACATGAGGGCAGGTCCTTGTGGTCCTGCTTACCGTGACAAAGTTGGCGAGGGTGATAGATGGAAGGATGGGTGGAGGATAGCTGGATGGAGGGGTGACTGGAGGGGTGGGTAGTAAATAAGGAAAGGGAGAAAAAAAAATGATAGGAAATAAAGCAAGATGTGGACAGGAATTCGGGCAATAGTTCTTGCCTTTATATTTTTGTATTTTTCAAATTTTCTGTAATAACGCCTGACTCTTATTCCCTTTGAAAGAGTTTATTAAAAGAAGAGAGAAAAAGACAAAGCAACAGTCTTCTAGGGATTTTGCTCTCTTTCTCATGAGCTGTTGGATGTTGGTTTGCTTTCTGCAGGTGGAGGCAGGGAAAGGCCTGGAGATGAGGAAGCTGGTTCTCTCTGGCTTCCTGGCCAGTGAAGAGATCTACATTAACCAGTTGGAAGCCCTGTTGTTGGTGAGTATTTGCTGTGGGGACCCCTTGTTCCCCTGTTGCCAATGTCATGCTCAGAACTGCTTTTGGAGTTGGAAAGGAAAGGGGACCTTACCTGCAAACAGAGACTCTGCTTACTGCTGGGCATGGGGCCACCTGTTCCCCTCAGCTCTGACTCTTCATTACCCTGCTCTGGGAAGGGCAGGAGAAACAGCACAGGTCAGGGGGCCAAATGCTCCCATTGCCCATGACCAGGACATCAGCATTGCTCTATCCAGGTGGGTGTCTGGCCACCTTCCTCTATGCTGTGCTCCTGGCAGTCTCGACCAATCAATCAAGAAGATGACAATCTGTCATCTTCTGTCCAAGTCATTCCTCCTCCCTGGGAAGGAAGACATCAGCACCAGTCCAGAGACCCTGTGTCAGGAAGTGCAAGGTGGAAGCTGTCTGTCGTTTTGAGAAGCATCACAACTCGGGCATTAGACCAACCTGAGTCCTCCATAGTGATGCATCCCAGGGTCCTTTCCAAGATGGAGGCACTGTTGTGAGATTCAGATTGGGAGGGCAACATGAAAATGTTTTCCAAAGATCAAACTTCTGTGCAGATGTAAGGTGTTTGTGCGTGTGAAGAAAGTGCTTATTAGATGCGTCTGGATATTATGCAGAGTGATTGCCGCATGCAAAGTTCTTTCCCCTGGGCGCTTTGTAGTCTGGGGCACAAGGTACTATCAGAAAAGGAGGAGTTAAAAAATGCAAGTAAAACTCGGTCCTACGGGTAAGACACACGTTCGTGTATTTGCCGTGATAGGAGATGTTGTTCCTCAGTGTTCCAGAGACATTTATTACCCAAGGAATGACTACAGAAATGTGAAGATACTTCACGGTATACTAGGCTATTTGTGTTTACTCTGCCATTAATTGCAGGCATATTGCACCTTTTAGTGGGTAGTGAAAGTGTAGTGGGTTGAACCAGCATATTAAAACAAATGGAGAAAGAAAATATCAATGTGCATCAAGAACCTTTGGTTTGTTGCACATGTATATCTGTATGTATATGTATATGCATATGTATGCATGCATAAGCTCACATTCTTTTAAAAATTTTTTTTTAGTTGTGGATGGACATAATACCTTTGTTTTATATATTTATTTTTATGTGGTGCTGAGGATTGAACCCAGTACCTCACGCATGCTAGGCAAGTGCTCTACCACCGAGCCACAACCCAGCCCCCACATTCTTATATATGTTGAGGGTTTGAAAAACACTGTCTTTGGAAAGCTACGCACAAGCCCTTGGTCCTCTGTTTCCTTGTGTGAAGATGAAACTACATTAGCAACCTTTTGTCCACAGAGGATGTGTTCCAAGATCTCTACTGGATGCCTGAAACCTTGGATCCTATATATACATAGTATATATACTATTCTATATATACTATGGTTTTTTTCACTACTTATACGCACCTGTGATAAAGTTTAATTTATCAATTACAGCAAGATATTCAGAACAATAATTAATAATAGAATAATTATAGTAATATACTATAATAAAAAGCATGGGAATGTGTCTTGTCTATCTTGAAGAGTCAAAACAAATATTGACATTTTCAGACAGTGGTTGACTGCAGGTGACTAAAACTGGGGCTACAGCAATACCATTACCTTCTTTCTCTTCCTGGGTTAGGTCAGGTGATTCTTGGGGACCTATACCTTTCTGGGTACTAAAGACACTCAACTGTTAGGAGGCAGGCACACTATCAAGCAGACATAAGAATACCTTATATACTGGGTTACTATACCCACCCCCCAAAGAGGGCATGATTGTCATTACTAACAGAGTGCCTACCCGAAAGGAATCAGACTGCCTGGCTGTGGATCCGCTCTTGCCTGCTTACTAGCTCTTGGCCCTCAGCAGGTGAATGAGTCTCTGTGCCTCATTTTCTCCATCTGTAAACTGGGTACACAAACAGTGCACTCTTCATGGGGTTGTTATGAGGATGACATGAATTTGTACGTACAGCTCTTAGAACAGAACCTGAGCATTACATGACACAGTTAGTGTCTCCAGTGATGGCAGAGAAGACGGGTTAGGGCTTCTAGGATCCTGTCTTGCCGACAAGCCCTTTCCCTGAAGGACGGGGGAGGTGCCGCCCTCTTCAGACGCCTGCCACTCCGATGCTATCCCGCCCCCGTTAGGCCTCTTCATTTGGGCAAAGAGACCAGATTTAGGGGCCAAGACAGCTCCTCCCTGCCCTGCCTTTCCAACAGCTTATGCCTCAAAGGCAAAACTGTGAGGCTGGGCACCCCCTCCACCCCTCCCCACCTCCCCACTATGAAATTGTTCATTCTGGGCCCCTACTTGATTCTGTCTTGAGCAGAGGCCAGTGGGAGTGAGGGAGGGTTGAGTTGGGAGGCCAGGTCTATGGCTAGAGGGCTCAGGAAGAGGGGGCAGAACCCTCCACAGCCATAGGCTCAGAGGATAAACCTCAGAGATAAGGAGTCAAGCCCTCTCCTTTCCGTGAGCCAGGAGTCCTCCCCTGTCAGCTACTAGGGAGTTAAACCCTCTGCTCTTTGGGGTTGTCTGGCTCCTGGTTGGGGGGGCAGGGAACTCAGCACACACTCCCCTCCTGCCCCATTCCCACTGCTCTGCGTGTGTGTGTGTATGTGTGTATGTGTGTGTGTATGTGTGTATGTGTGTGTGTTTTCCCCTTCACACTTCCTGATATGCAAAGGGCTGAGTGTGTGTACCCAAGACTGTACATAACACAGGACAGGGAGACGTCACATAGGGACATCTGTTCCAGTCCCTGGGGTGCTGGTTGAGGTCAGGCTTGGTAATTTTCTGGAACCCTCCTGGTTCCTGCTGGACTCTTTTTACAGGCAAGGTCTGGCAACCTGGGCTGAGGTGGGAGGTAGTGAAGGAAGCAGAAAAACAAATGTGCTGTGATTCTGTATCTGGGGCTGGGTTTCTGGGTATTGCCTGTGTTGTGTGGGGCTGCTGTCCACAGCACATCCCACCACTGGGACAGGGTGGCCACCGCGGTCCCCACTGGCCCTCCTCCCGTAGACTTTCACTCTGGCAGTTTGCTGTGGAGTTCAGAGTCCTTCTGCATCTTGGCTTTCTTATCTGTACAACAGGTCAATGATCTCTCCTCCCTGGGCGCTTGTGAGGAGGAGCCCAGGTGATAGGTTAGGAGACACGCCTGACAGCCACTAGGCCTTCTGGGGTGGGAGCTGGAGGAAGTGGGCAGGTATCTTTCCCCTGTGTTGAAAGGCCAGTTGCTGGGGGACAAAGCAGACATGCAGAAGCACTCAGGAAGAAATGAAGAGCTGGGAAATAAAGAGCCAGGGTTGAGGTGGCCCGGAGTTCTCTCTAAGAATTCTTCCCTGAGAAAATGGAGAGCCAGGGTCCCACCCTTGCTCTCTGCAGCAGGATCTAGGAGGAGGGAGGAGGTACCTGAAAGGCTAGCTCTGTGGCAAAAGAGAAGTGCTGGGTCAAAGCTCAGTGAGGGTTTCTGGCCCTTGGGCCCCTCCTACCCCTGAGGCCTGTACCTTTTTATCTGTAAAAATAACAGGCCTTAAGAACCTGGACCAGCCCTTCCCCATCCCCACACATGAAATCAAGGGTAGAAGCAAAGGTCCTCAATCTGGTGTGAGAACCGTTTATGCCCCCAGTGCAGGCTGGTCCATGTGACTGACCACCAACGAGCTTCCTTTTCTTCCCCTTTTGTAGACTGAGTGGGAAGTTTAGGAGGAAGCAGAGTAGTTGTGCCTTGTCTTTGTATGGGCAGCAGATGAGTGTCTGCTTCCCCAGCAGCTTCTGAGAAATCTGATCCTTTTTGCATTCCCGGGACTCCCCCCCCCCTTCATTTCCTTTATTCCTTCTGCAATGGGGATGGCACTAAAGCAGGTCAAGGATGAGTGGTTCTGGGACTCTGACAACTTGGGCCCCTCCACTGAATCCTGCAGAGAGATGATAAACTCACACCCGAGGGCGAGTTCTGCATCCTTCTGCCTGGGCTTGGGAGAACAGTATGCTTTCTCCTGGCACCTTCTGTTTCCCTGCCTGCAAGCTTATCTAGCCCCCAGCCCCTGACCTGCTCTGATCTTCCCAACCTCCAAGGCCCAGCTCCTGCCTGTCTTTTTTGTGAAGCCCCTGAGCTACTCTAGCACAACCTTGTAGCCACCTGGTTGATATTTATAGTCCAAGTTGGGTAATAGCTCCATCTTGCATTATTTCCTAAATTGTTTCATTTGTGTTGATCTGATTGACTCAAATAGATTGCAGAAATGATGGATTGTAAAAACTAATCTGAATATTTGACCTCTATCACACACGTGCCTGAATCTCTCCAGGGAAATCTGGGTCAGTGCATGATCCATTGCACCATCAAAGCTGTACTTCTCTCCAGGTGCAATGGTGCACACCTATAATCCCAGCAACTCAGGAGGCTGAGGCAGGGGGATGTCAAGTTCAAGGCCAGCCTCAGCAACTTAGCAAGAGCCTATCCTAAAATAAAAAATAAAAAAGGCTGGGGATGTAGGTCAGTGGTAGAGCGCCCCCCGGGTACAATCCGCAGTACTGGAGGCTGCACTCCTTCCCCTGTGTGATCTGGCCCTGCCTGTGAGGCATCCAGTTCTGCTTTAACCCCCCTTTTCCCCTTACCCCACTGCACATGGCTCAAGGACCTGTTCAGCTCCTGTTTCTCATCAAGTTCATTCTTACCTCAGGACCAGGCATTAGGGAAGTCTGTCTGCAATACTGGGCCCCCATGCTTCTGTTTCAGGGTAAATGTCCCCTCTTGGAGAAGCTGTCCTTCACCATCCTGCTTCAGGGGGTCCCCTCCCTAATTCCTTCATTGCACTTACTGCTCTGTGTCATGAGATGTTTTATTGTTTACTTAGGTTTTGTCTGTCTGCCCTACTAGATGGGAAGCCTACTAGATGGGGACAGGGATTGTGTGTGTGTTATGCACCACTGAATACCCCAGGCCTAGCCTCATGTTGGACACGCAATACATTATATGTGGGGTGAATAATAGTAATAGTAGCAGTTAACACTTGCTGATTGGCACATACTAGATATTTCATGTAAAGCATGGCTTTTGATCTTCCCGTCAGTTCTCCTGAGAAAGTAATACTATCCCACTTACAAATGAGGCCACTGGTGATGTTAAGCCCAGAGTTCGTAAGTGACTTGCCCACAGCTATTAAGTAGCAGGGTTGGAACTCAAACCCACATTGCCTGGCCTGCCCCAGCTTCAACCCCACCCCTTCTTCCCAGCAAGGACTCAATGCTGAGGGTCATTGGTTCTAGCACTGAGAGGGTCAGCAGAAGAGAGTCTGCTTTTCCCTGCCTCCATCATTGTGTCTGGACTTTGTAGAGCTCAGAGGAAGAGGAAGCCCAGAGTCAGAGTGTTGTCTGGGTGTTTGAGTAGAGGAGACTTCCTTTTGTGGACCAACTTGGGCTCTGCCATCATCAGAGGGAGGATGGGGCAGAGCCTGGCTGGAGGTGTGGCTGCTGTGGCCAGCTCAAGCGGGTGGTCATGGCTGGGAGGGAGCCAGCATAGCTTTGGTCTCCCTCAGTGTGGGTGTTCCCACCTGCAGCACTTTCAGCAGGGGAATTCTGCCTTCCCTTCTAGAATGCTGTTCCTGTTGGGAAGCTCACTACCTCATCCAGGAGACAGTGGGAGATGGCTCCAGGGAGCTCAAACCTGGCTCACTTCTCCCCACGACTCCTTAGTCTACTGAGTAATGCAAACGAAGTCTAGGTCCCCTTTCCACACAGCCACCAAAGAGAACATCAGCCATATCTGACTCATGCTTCTCTCTTCCAGGTAAATGTACCTTCCCCCACGTCTTCTCCATATGGCAGGTTTCCAGACCCTGTCCCCCTGTAGGGCCTTCATGGTATAGTCTGGGCATCTTTGGGGTTTTCTGATTATAAAAGTAATATTTACTCATTATAGGTGATTTTTTTGTTTGTTTGTTTGTTTTTTTAAATTTTTTATTGTTGGCTGTTCAAAACATTACATAGTTCTTGATATATCACATTTCACACTTTGATTCAAGTGGGTTATGAGCTCCCATTTTTACCCCATATACAGATTGCAGAATCACATCAGTTACACATCCATTGATTTACATATTGCCATACTAGTGTCTGTTGTGTTCTGCTGCCTTTCATTATAGGTGATTTTTATCTACTTATCCATTTTATTACACAATGAAATTATTTATTTCATTGATGGATTGATTGCAGTGGAATCTTGCTATTGCCTAGGCTGGTCTTGAACTCCTGGGCTCCAGTGATCCTCCTGCTTCAGCTTCCTGAGTAGTTGGGACCACAGTTGTAATCTAGAGTGCCCAACTTGATTGTAGGTGACTTAGAAAATATAGAGGGTCACACTGAAGAGAGTGTACCCAGGCTGCATTATCCCAGGCAGTGCTGGAGAATGGTTCTGTGTTATCGTCTCGTCTGTCACCTCACCTCTCCACTTGCAGGTCCTGGTGCATCTTGGTTTAGACAAGTGGGGATGATAGATAGGTTTCATTTTCATGTCAACTCAGGCATTGAGAGAGAGCCTGAGAACGCAGCCATGCTCCGTGGGAAAGATCATTACAATCGTTTAGCAATGTCTGCCACTGGTGTGGGAAGTAGGAGGGTGGTGTGTATGCTACCTGCTCCTCTCCCTGTGATAGGTGACAGGAAGCTGAACTATCAGTGAATCTGAGCTGGTCGTGAATCCTCAAGTCCTAGAACTACATTCTTTTTCTTGAAAGGAAACAGCTAAGTAGTTGTGTTCCCAGGCAACCCTCCCTCCTATGGAAGTGTGACAAGAAAGCTTGTGACTCAGAGTATGAGGCCATTGTGGGAGATGCAGATCCTGTGAAATCGATCTGCAAACCCATAGGGGGCCGTGAGCCGGATGCTGTGAGCTCAGATGGGGGTGGGGGTTGTGCGCTGACTGCTGGGCCAGGTTCTGACTATCAGTTCACCCTTGTTGTGGATGGCCTGTTGGGGCCTGTGACAGTTGCTCCAACGTACAAACTACGTTTCAGGTGCCCTGCCTTTGGTGGCCTTGTTGAGGCAGTACTTGTGCTGCACAAAGCACTAATCAGTGCCACGATCTGCACTGGGCTGATACTCTGGTTTATTCACCCCCCACCTCTGCTGTTTCTTCCTCTTCCTCTTCCAGCCCATGAAACCCCTGAAGGCCACAGCCACCACGTCCCAGCCTGTGCTCACCATCCAGCAGATTGAGACCATCTTCTACAAGATCCAGGACATCTATGAGATCCACAAGGAGTTTTATGACAACCTCTGTCCCAAGGTGCAGCAGTGGGACAGCCAGGTCACCATGGGCCACCTCTTCCAGAAGCTGGTGAGTCTCCCACGGAGGGAGCCAACTTCAGGCAGGGTCCTGATAGGGCTGCTGGCAAATGAATGTGGCCTTGGGAGAGGACTAACCAGCCTGAGCCCTCTTAGCCTCCTGAAGGCCTGAGTCATCTCTGAGTCCTGGGTGCAAGCCTTGGTGTGTGTGCTTAATGGGGCATCTGGGCCTGGAACCTTGACTCCCTGGGAGTGTTTCCAGGTACGGTGGGAACAGCCCGTGGATGTGGGTGCTTCTGGGAGAGTACCATCTCCCCCTTTCCCTCTCTCCCTCTCTCTCTCTCTCTGCCAGAGCTCCTCAATTTAGTCCTAGAATGAAACCTCCCATGCTTAACCACTGAGCCACATCCCCAGCTCTTTTTTTTTTTTTTTTTGTTTTTTTTTTTTTTTTTTTTTTTTTTTTTTTTTTTTTAAATATTTATTTATTTTTAGTTATCGGCGGACATAACATCTTTGTTTGTATGTGGTGCTGAGGATCGAACCCGGGCCGCACGCATGCCAGGCGAGCGCGCTACCACTTGAGCCACATCCCCAGCCCCTTTTTTGTATTTTATTTAGGGACAGAATCTGGCTGAGTCGCTTAGGGCCTCACTGAGTTGCTGGGGCTGGCTTTGAACTCACGATCCTCCTGCCTCAGCCTCCCAAGCTGCTAAGATTACAGGCGTGTGCCACCATGCCCAGCCTCCTTTTATTTTTTGAGTCGGGGTCTTGCAAAGTTGCTGAGGCTGCCCTTGAATTTGCAATCCTCCTGCATCATCCTCCTGAGTCACTGGGATTACAGGCATGTGCCACCTACAGAAGGCATTATTTCAAGGGAACGTCACACTTCTGATTCTAGTGGACCCAAATACTTTCCCTGGTACAGAGATGGTGAACACTCAGTCATCCTTTTCTGGTCCCAGGAGTCTAAAGTGATTGACTTGAGGGGAAGCCTCTCCTGAGCCTTCATGAGGGCAGAAGAGAGCCAACCAGAGGTGAGGGCTGAGTAGCCAGAGGAGAGTGGAAAGGCTGTTCCAGTTCTTTTTATCACTTGGACCCTGCTGTCACCAGAGCCTCCTGTTCTGGACTCAGCTCCACAGGGCTGGTTCTGAGTTTGATTCCTACCCACAGCCTCATGAACCTATGCCTGAGGCTCCTGGGGCTATGGGGTTGGCAGGGCCTAGATAGAGCTGGGGCAAGCTGGGCATCTGGAGGCAGTTTATTTTCAGCTAAAGTCTCTCTATATTTGATTATTCATTACCGAGAGAAGGGAATTAGCATCTCTGCTATTTGTTTTATGAGATCACTCCAGTGCCAAGTTGCTGTTTCCAAGCAACGTCTACTTTCCAGTTAATGACCCTGGCAGACTAGGACTTGGGCCCTCCATGCTTAGGGTGACTGTGGAGACAGCAGTCCTAGGATGGCCCATGACACCTACACACAGCCTATGCACAAATGGCTCCTGCTCCTGGCTCAGTGGAGGAAGCCAGCCCAGGCCACCAGGCTTCATCCTTTTCATGGAATGGGGGGCATGGAGAGCCTTTTCCTAGAAGAAGGCTTCAGTGATTTGCACTCTGCCTTAGGAAGCAGTTGTCTAGTGCATCTCCTACAACCTGGGACACAGACAACCAGGACTCTCCCAGAAGAACAGGAGCTCCACTTCTTCCTGCCCCCACCCAGAAACTTTCTTTTTGAAAAGTCTTACCTACCCGCCCCCCCCCGGGGGGTGGGCACTGCTGAGACTTGCACTGCTCTGGCCTTGGTTTCTCCGGGCATCCCAGTTTTCACTGTCCTTTTTGGCTTCCCTGTCTCCCAGCCCCACCAACTTCCACAAAGGCCTGTCTTGGTGCTGGGAGGCTCTAGGCCCAGCTGTTAGTGCACCCAGCCCCCTGCCCAGCCTCTTTCAAGAATCCCTGAACTGCCCAAGGATTCTTCAGGGAGCAGCATAGACCAGAGTTGGGCTCTGGGACAGCTTGCTTTTCCTAGCACCTTGCGGGGGAAAGTAGAAACCTCTGACAAAGCCTGGCAACAGCTGTACCCCCTTGCTACTTCATCAGAAAGACATTTAAACCAGAAAATCTAGAGAATAACAGCAGACAACTGTTTAAGCACCTCCCAGAATTAACAGATGTTAAACTTGGAAGATAAATACCAAAACTAACTTCCTTACTGTCTCTCTCTTACTTTCCTTCCTCCCTTCATTTCTTCTTTCGGGGATTGAACCCAGGGCCTCTGCTGTTGAGCTACACGTCCAGTCCCTGGCAAAAATTTTTTAACAACAACAAAATATCTATATCTATATATATTTATTTATTTATTACAGGTGAAGGTGAAGTCTTCCCTTCCCTTTCCTTCCCCTTTTATTCTGAAGCAGCTGTTCTTGTGCATTTGATGTGTACCTTATATACTGTAGTTTATATTTTTACTGCATATCTATATCTTTTTATGACACTGCATGTACTTTCAAAATGTGCATAGGTTTATATGTATGTCATATTTTGTAATTCAATCAACATTTGGTTCATAACATGTTGGTATCGCTACATATAAATCTAGTTCATTCATCTGAACTGCTGTGTGTGTCTGAATTCCAGTATTTATGAGCATTTGTTTCCAGCCCTTCCACTATAAGAAAGAAGAGGGAGGCAGTGAGTATCTTGGGCACACACACATGCAGGCTTTTCAAGAGTAGTGATTTCCACCAGAAATAAGTCGCAAGCCACATATATAATTTTATTTATTTATTTATTTATTTTTATTGGTTGTTCAAAACATTACAAAGCTCATGACATATCATCTTTCATACATTTGATTCAAGTGGGTTATGAACTCCCATTTTTACCCCAAATACAAATTGCAGAATTACATCGGTTACACATCCACGTATATAATTTTAAATGTTCTAGTATCCTCCCTCTCCCCCTGGAAGAGCCCTCTCTCTCTCTCTCTCTCTCTTTCTCTCTCTGGCAGAGCTAGGGATTGAATCCAGGGCCTCACATATGCTAGGCAAACCCTCTAACACTGAGCTACATTCCTAGCCTTATTTTCACTTTTTTAAAGGGAAATTTACTTTATTTTTTTTTAAAGAGAGAGTGAGAGACAGAGAGAGAGAGAGAGAGAATTTTTTTTTAACATTTATTTTTTAGTTTTTTGGCGGGCACAACATCTTTGTTTGTATGTGGTGCTGAGGATCAAACCCGGGTCGCACGCATGCCAGGCGAGCGCGCGCGCTACCACTTGAGCCACATCCCCAGCCCATGAAATTTACTTTTTTAAAGGCAAGGTAATTTACATCCTCTTTTACATTCTGTAGCCCAGTGGTAGAGAGCTTGCCTAGGATGTGTGAGGCCCTAGATTCAAACCCCAGCACCACAATAAACAAACAAACAATCAAACACTGATGCCAGGCACTGGGCATACTTGTTATGTATGCTCCACACCCCCTAATAAAAGATTAAGAAATAAACATACAGGTAAAGTTAATTTTTTTAAAAATATTTTATTTAGTTGTAGATGGACACAATACCTTTATTTATTTATTTCTATGTGGTGCTGAGGATCGAACCCAGTGCCTCCCACATGCTAGGAAAGTACTGTATCACTGAGCTGCAACCCCAGCCCAAGCAAAGTTAATTTTAAGAATATATTTTATTTGGGCCTGAGGTCGTGGCTCAGCGGTAAAGTGCTTGCCTAGCATGTACGAGGCCCTGGGTTCGATCCTCAGCACCACATAAAAATAAATAAATGAAATAAAGGTATTGTGTCCAACTACAATTTTTTAAAAAATTAAAAATATATATTTTATTTATCCCAATAGATCCAAATATCATTTCAACATCTAATTTATATTTTAAAATTGGCAAGGTAATTTACATCCTCTTACATTCTGAGTCTTGGGAATCCAGTGTAGATTTTACACATCTCAATTTGCACTGGCCACGTTGCAGGTGTTCAGTAGCCACGTGTAGCTCGTGGCCATTGTGTGGGGCAACATAGTACTGTGGTTTCTTTTTATTAAATTTATTTATATATATATATATATA